GACAGTTTCAACCATGATTTCCAGATAATGTAGTATACTGTTTTCTTCTGAAAAGACATGCTTTATTCTCTCACATTGCCAGCTATCATTGGATCTTTCATTAACCTGTTTGGATTTAATTATCGTTAGTTTTCAGGGACATAAATGTAGTTTTTGTAATCTATAATTAGAATCTAATCAATTCAGACCGATTCATTAAACTTGTCGAATATGTAGTTTAATTTATAAGAATTAAAAAACTGCTTTTTTCAGATTTGCGAAGTAGAAGGAACCGGAAAATTAACAGGCCGACAACTATTCCTTCGTGACTCAACATTGAATTTGTCCGATCTGGCACTAATGCAAGCAGCAGGGAATGAAATTGAATTCGATGAGTCACTTTTCGACGAGGTTGGTTTCATCAAACACTATCAGAGAGCATTAGTTCGAAGAATAGATGATTCGATTGGTAAGTATCACACAAATATATCGCACACATATACAAAATTTTATCGAAAAAAGATTCTTGTCTTGTAGGCAATAATTTCTTTTATGCATTTTTTTGCTAATTTTCTTCTTATCAGAGAAGATTAAGAATTTCCTCAACATTAGTAATGTGCAAAAACTCGAACCTATGTTGTATAACTGCATAATTAATCCATTTGCTACCATTAGAAAACAAGAATACATTTTTGCACAAAATTAATCACTTGAATTTCAAAAATATTTAGGATATTGGTGGCTTAGATTCTGGTGAGAATGACGAAGAACAACAATGAAAGGAATTATTACTTCAGGTGCAGCTCTTTGCAGAATTTTGAACCTTTTCTTCTCTTTTTGAATTTTTCAGAAGTTTCGTGTCTTCGTGCTCACATAACTTTTTTCTAAACCATAATCTTTTCACACTGAGATATTTTAGAATACACATCGAAAAACGAATTTGCATCGGTAGTCGAGCGCTGTCATAATATAATTTTTTTCTTCGTTTTGGTCGTAAATTTAAAACTGCTCGTTAAAAACAGTTTATTTTTCATGGTATGTTTTTTCATTACTTGAAATCAATTATTTGGATTTGGTGCACTTTTTGTATTTGTTTGATTGCTTTTTGTATTTAAATCTTATAATTTCGAATAATTATTGTTATTAATGTTGCTGTGTAATTCCAAGTTATAAATGTCAGACACATTATTCAATTCATGTTTGTATAGTTAGCACTTGAAATTTTTACTAGCAGGACGAATTGATTCTGCTACTTTTTTTAAAAATTTCCATTACTTCTGGTGTTTGTTATATTTCAGGAACGAATTTATGTTTTTTATCTTGGAACATATTAACATAAGTAATTCTTATTAGTAACACGGTAATTCATACTCGCAAATTGATAGAAGAAAGATAATTTTACAGCTTGATTTGTTTAGCGAAGCGGTACATTTTAAAAACACTTCTTCATGGAGGCTCTATTTGTCTTTTGGTTTGTGTGCTTTTATGGTTTCATTTATTTTTTGTAATTTATTCCATGATCTAATAATTTCGAAATAAATTACGGAAGTCTCTAACTTCGGATATCCATCTTAATTAAAGAAATTAGATTTTAAGTGCTATCTAGCATGCTTCTAAGAAATCTATTTTAAAGAATTGTATTTCTTAGGAGCATGCACTTTATGAGCATGCACAGCATGCACTCATGCATGAGCTGAGATTCGCTAAAAACTTCCCGTATTAGTATATTTATATAATTGTTGAATTGTTAACATTACGGTGTTTTTGAACGAAGGACAAATAAAATATTTTAAAACTGTATTAGTGTATTTACCGATAAATGTAAGTGGCGAGAACAAATTTTGAGATTCGCTAGAAACTTCCGTATAAGTTGTATTTACAATTCTGGAGATCCTCTAGTTTTCTGATTTTTTTCAAGAAATTGAAGTCAATAATAATTTTCAATGGTTTTTTTAAGTCTTGATGAACAAATACAATTTTAAAAGTTTTGTTTATAAACATTCTCATGCAAATGCAAGGATTAAGTAACTGAAATTTAAATTGATGTTGGAATATCTTTGGAAAAATCAGATTGATAGCTTCTTAAACTATTAGATTTTGACGAAATGATAAAAATAGCTAGTGAAAGTGTTAAGTTCGCTCATAAACTTTGCTCACTATTTAATACTAATTTTCCCTAATATTGTTTTTATTTTTTATGCATTGATGCTTATCATTTTACTTGATGGCTTTTTTTCTTTTTTTTTGAAAAGACCGACAAATAAAAGAGTTTTTGTCTAAATGGACAACATTTTGTTGAACAACGGTTGCTTCAAACCAAAATGACCATGCTTTTTTAAAATGTATTTTTCAAAAAGTTTAACAAACCATAATTCGTCGTAAGAAATGTTGCCGAAAATAGTAGCCGGTAGTGTTTCGGTATCGATATTGTTTAAATAAATTGATTATCATTAACATTACTAATTTACTGATTGAGATCCTCATTAACAGTGATATCCATCTTTGCTATTTATATGAAGGGAGAAGATAGTTGCAAAGCAGCTGAGTTTTTGCTGATTATGGTGAATTTAATTAAGGTATTTGTTTTTTAATGAAGCAACGAAATAAATACACAGTATTTTCCTCGATATGTGTTGAGTTTGTTTATTGAATTGTAGACGGTGAAAATGAGTTGATCTGTTGTTATCAGAATCTTGCTTTATCCATAATTCATAATTTCGGGAACAAATTATGAATTTTGGAAAGTAATACTCGCTATTTAACACGTGATAAATTGACGAAGATGAGTTACCAATGATATGTATGGTGTATGAGTGAGTCTTGCCATGTTCAGTGTCATTCTCTTCATAAGTTTTTGCAAATTGTTTTTGAGGACTGAAGGCATGCTGTGATGAGTCATAATTTTATACATATTTACGAACTAAAGTTGAATTGCGGGCATAAATTGTCTTAACTTTTTGATAAGGTAACAATGAGGGAATAAATGAGTGATTAATTTAAGCACATTGTATTTCACTGCTTCCATTACTTTAGTACTGATAGCAATGCAGTGGATGTCTTTCCTTTTGCTAATTCTCATTGCTTTTTTTTTACATTTTGGAAGAAGCTTTTCCTAATCAGAACTGGTTCTCAGATGATAGCTTTTCATCTATAAGCTTAGACTAATTTGTCGCTTATTACTCTTGTACTTTTCGTTTTTTACCGTCCGACTTTTATGAATTGATGGAAATCGATTTGTTTGATTACTTGTCGTAAATTTTTATTTATATGTGTACAGCTAATGATATACAACTTTGTCGTGCATCCATCGCACAAATGTCCAGCAGTTAATGAAAGCTGGCAACGGCATCATTTTCTGTACTAACACTATAATGCTTGGTTTTTCCATAAATGGCGAAGAAGAGGGTCGGGATGAGGAGTTGGAATTTCTGTACTGATGTTGGAAATTTTGATTTTATGTTATTCATTAACTTGCTTAAAGAAATTTTATTTTAAAGCAGATAGGGTTTTTGAATCTCAATTCTTTATTACATCTTTGGATTTCACTTTGTTTCGTTTATTTGATCATTAGATGTGTTAAACATTAGATATTCACGTTTAAGCATAGTATATGTGAACCACGTTTTTCATTAATGATTTGGTTACACGTTTGGCAGAGAAAAATTACTGATAAAAATTATTGATTATTTGCAGGGTTGAATGTCGTGGAAATCAGACGGCCCTCCCTCCAGTCATGGTTCATATTCTCCATCTTCCGGACAATATAGCTCAGGTGCAAGTAGCCGTTCTATTAAGGTTTTTGCAAAGTCCGCGGGAAATAGGACTGAAGAATGGTTGAGAATAACACTTAAAGAATTTGGTAACTAAGAAAACGTCATTTACCACAGTGTCGAGATACCTAATGCAGCGCGTATCTTTTGTTTAATGGCGTAGCAGCATAGCGAACATTGATCTTAAAGCGATTTATTAAGCAACGTGCACCATCCATTGTAATCTACCTATTATTTCATTGTTGGTAGAGCAGTAATTAGCAATAACATAGATGAAATAAATGACAGTTGATTAAGGAACAAGCTGCTTGGTATTATTCTTTTCATTTTTAAAATTTAATTTTTTATTGCAGTCTAACGGTCGGAACAGTGTCGTTCGTATTTTTCAGCCGCCACATGCTCTACTTCCTACATTTTTACAAGTAACTATTTCTTGCTTCTCTTCACTTTGTTTTAAACAAGCACTTTTCTCACGTCGATATTTTGAACTGTAGTAATAAAAACCTTCTGTATCACCAGCTCAAATCTTAATCCTTACTCAAAACGAGGCATGTATTATATATTAATTTATTAAAATAATTATTTCAGGTGAAATCGAAATTTGATGCGGAGTGGCGACGCTTTTCGATACAATTTCAGGATAACAAACCTCCTTCTTATGAAGATTTTCGTACTCTGGTTGAAGGTCTTCATTCTTTACACAATATACCTTTCACAGTGTGTTATACAAGTCATTCTGGAGACCTCTTACCTATTACTAATGATGATGTAAGTTACTTCTCTTTATTGAAGAGTTAAGGACAATTAATATTGCATAAGAATAGGACAAAAATGAACAATATTCCAATTTCAAGAGATTCATCTTTTTGTTTTTTCTGTACTTTAACTGGTACAAACATTATCATGTGAATTTGTTTAAAAGAATGAAAGTTTAGTTGACAATAAAAAGTGAGTTTGATGAATATCGTTTTCATCTTTTTGAGTGAAAGTAGTATGAAATAGAAAAAAATATAGTCCTTATTATTGTCATTTAGTACTCGTTTTGACAAAACTGTTTTATGCAGAATTTTCGAAAATCTTTTGAATCAGCCCGTCCAGTATTGCGGCTTTTGATACAACGAAAGGGTGAATCCTGGGAGGAGAAATATGGCTACGGTACAGATACAATTGATCGACGGCGCAAAGGGTTGTCATTATTGATACCGACAGTTTCCAGACTACCGAAAAGAACATACAATATTTCAAACCCAGAAGATTTTCGGCAGGTTAATCTTTGCTTCATATTTCACGTCGTTCTGATACATTCTCTTCCGAAAAGTCACTTTATAGCATGCAGCATACTTATTTATATGTTCCAGATAGTATTTCATTCTATTTACTAGATTTTATTTTTGACCTTCACTATATCTTAGGTTTTCTAAAAGCTTCTAAACAAGTAATATCTGTTTCAGGTATCAGCAATAATAGATGTAGACATTGTTCCAGAAGCTCATCGTCGAGTAAGACTCTGTAAACATGGCAGTGATCGTCCGTTGGGATTTTATATTAGAGACGGTATGGTAAAAAAATAACTAGTTCTGTACTCATTTAAGATTGTGTTTATTAAATTATTTCAAAATCAGTAAAATCAATTTGCTTAGATGTAGTTTTAGCGTTTTTGTTTTGAGTTTTGATCTTCATATGTTATTCTTGTTAAATAATTCTATTTAAAGTTAGGCAGCGGCAAATTTGATGAAATCATTCATCGTTCCAGGAACATCAGTAAGAGTAACTCCACAAGGTGTGATGAAAATACAAGGAATTTTTATCAGTCGTCTTGTTGAAGGAGGTTTGGCTGAGTCTACAGGCTTATTAGCGGTTAATGATGAGGTACTTGAGGTGAATGGTATTGAGGTTTGTTTTTTAATATTTCTGTGAAAAAAATTTTTTTTCAGATTTTTTGTTTGAAAATTGGTAATGTTAGTGTCGTCTTCTTTTTATGATACACTGTTTTCAGGTACAAGGTAAAA